AATAGCACCGGTTATTTGATATGTCGGTAATATTTGTTCTTTGGTAATCAGCTTTAATTTAACGTCTTGTCGGAGTTAACCTTTTCTTAATTTCCTAATTTTCCACCAAGGCACGCTCTCCCTACACTATAAATACTGGGCGATTTTTTGCCTCGTTCTCTTTTTTTACTTTGCATTTCAGCGGACACATTTAAAAGATGTGATCTCTCACAGAGATTTGCGTTTTGCCCACATGTGGGAAAACGCCATGAAACACACACACACATACACGTACGTACGAACATTCATCAAAATACGAACTCTTTACGTTCACGCACAAACACAAACGTTTGTCCATTGTAAATCTCGTAGTTTAATATGCATATTTGTTTATATATATATATATATATATATATATATATCGGTCTTGTTTGTTTTAATTTTTACATATCTTTGGTTGGACTCAAGTTGAGTCCGCTATATTCTTGTAGTGGACCTTATAATATTCTGTCAGGAGTTACACACGTGTTCTTAATTTAACAACAAAAAACCCACGGTCCGCTACAGTTTTTCGTCTCAGTTTTGCTCACAAGATAAAGTTTGTTTATATTTTGATTTTTGTGTGTTTTCTCTCTTCGTTCTTAATCCTTATCCAAAAAATTTAATAAGTCTTTGGTGCATTGTTCACTAGGAAAAAAAAATGACGAGGCTGAATGTGAATGAATGACTAACCGCGTGACAGTAAAGCATATACCCGGATGTATGACGTTATTTTATAACTGAACATAACGAATGTCGTCTGTTATTTTCACTTAGATAATCGCACTAATGTTGTTCCTTTGGAAATACTTCAGCAGGTGATAAATTCTTCAAAGAGGAATGAACATTAAGGATTACATTAGTTTATGATCTTATTTGAGGTGCGAAAATTAACTAATTTAAAAACAACAGACATAAAAGAGACAGAGAGAAAAACTGTACCGACAGTAGTTTGCGATACGAAAAAATGAAAAAAGAAAATACCATAGAATGAGTTAACCGATTATCGCTCTTCACTCGTCAGAACTCGACCGAGAAATTTGAAATATTGTGCACAAAACCTAAAACTTCACACGTAACAATAATACATTGGAACGGGTATATCTATAGATAGATCGCACTAAGACTGCACAACTAGTCCTTTTGGTTTGCATAAATATGCTTGTCTTGATTTAATGTAAATTGTTTCAAGGACTTTTAAGCGAGCGTCACCATTATCCTGTAGATATACCCGTGTCAATATATTCTCGATAAGTATGCATTTTCATCCGTATGTTTTCCTTTTTCAGCCGGTGTGCATAATATTTTAATTTCCTCGGTCGAGTTCTGACGAATGAGGAGCGATAAGCTGTTAATTTTTGTTTCTTCATTTTTTCTTTTTTTAAAAATAATTTCACCCCAAGCAAGGCAATAAAGCCACTAAGATGCAAGAGATTACTGAGTGAGAAAAAATACGAGAAAAAGAAAAAAAAACATTAAGGCGGGAGAACTGGAATTAAAAGGACAGAAGATAACGGATTAATATAAGATTATTACGTTTTATACAGGGTGCGGCAGAAATACCTCCCACATATACCCCTCCTCCAGAAATATATCCCACATAAAGGTAAGACATTTGTGGTAATGGTGTCATTTATTAAAAATTGGTAACAAGTGGAGAAATGTCATACCCAAAGGTAAAACAAAATAAATAAATAAAAATAAAAAAAATGAAAAAATAAAACATCCACAACTCTTGCGGCATAAGACCCGTATCAGTCCTGCGGCATGAACCGGAGATTTCTCGTTGCTCGTGGGAACAAGCGGAGAAATGTCACTTCGAGACACATACCCAAAGGTGAAAAAAATAAAACACCCACAACTCTTGCGGCAGAAAACCTGTATCTGTCCTGGAACTGGAATTTTCGTTCCTCGTGAACAAGGAGAAATGTCACTTCGAGACACATACCCAAAGGTGAAAAAAATAAAACACCCACAACTCTTGCGGCAGAAAACCCGTATCGGTCCTGCGGCATGAACCGGAGATTTCTCGTTCCTCGTGGGAACAAGCGGAGAAATGTCACTTCGAAACACATACCCAAAGGAAAATCCATTCACAACCCTGGCTGCAGAAGACCCGTATCGGTCCTTGGCAGCTTGAACCTGAGATTTCTCGTTCCATGTAGGAACAAATGGAGAAAGTGCTCCCGTAACTGGGAAAACCAACTCCCTCTCTTTCCACTGCAAAATACCACTATTATGCACTCTCTTTCGATCAAGAATAAAAGCTGTTAAACAGTTATTTCGAGCTATGGATTTGTTCATTCCACTCCATACGCTGTCGATCCCCCGCCCTGTCCACACACAACGGGGAAAAATCTCGACAGCCCTTCCAAAATGAATACAGCACAAAACGGTGTTTACGATGGGAACCCCAAACGCATATAGGTTCAACAACAAAAACACGAAAGGCGAAAGGAATCTTCCCTTGGTAAATTCCCTTCGCCACACCTCAGGCGTCAATGACTGATCCCTACACTTTTAGTGTAATAGATCTGGAACAGAGCATATGACATACCAATTTGGGGATGAAAAGCGTATTTATCCGTGGTGAATATAACATACGGTCGTGTTTAATGTGAGAATTGCACGCGTACAAGGGATCAGTCTCCATCGGCGCTTTCCTAGACGAAATTCTGTTCACGGACGAAAGTCATTTTTAAGAAAAGGACATTCGATTCATAGTTAATAAGGTCAGCTCAGAGATTCAAACCTCAGTTCACAGACGAAGCCACTTCACACATAGGAAAGTCAGACGATAAATAAATGTCAGATCATATAGAATAAAGTCACCTCGTAGATTCAAAAGTCTGTTCATAGATGCGAAAGTCGGTTCATAGACACAAAGATCAGTTCATAGATACTAAAGTCAGTTCCTAGAGACAAAGATGAGTTCACAGATGCCAAAGTCGGTTCATAGATACAATGATCAGTTCACAGATACAAAGATCAATTCATAGATATAAAAGTCGGCTCATAGATACAGAGATTAGTTCATAAGATACTAAGATAAAAGATCTGTTCATTGATATGAAAAGTCGATTCATAGATACAAAGATCATTTCCTATATACAAAGATAAGGAAATGAGAAGATATGTAAAAATAAGGATGTATCCACGGTTGAAAATGTCGATTGGTACACCTTAAACTTTTTACTGAGTCTTTTTTCTTTTTAATTCTAGAAGACCACAGTTTACCGACACGGAAACGATGATTGATGATTTTTCTTTCGTTTTACTTTCTTTTTTCTTTTTTGTTGTTGTTCCTGTTTTTTAAGCGTTTTGTTTTTCTTTGTAGTTGCTGGTCTTTTATAGAGAAAGAAAGCAAGCAACAAAAGAATGGACAACTTATTGAACGAAAGAGAAGTGAAAAAAAAAAACCATGACATAAAATCAATTTATATAATATATTCAAATGAAAAGCATGGCTGACATCCGGCGTAAAAAAAAAACAAAAAAAACAAACAAATCTGTAAACAATATACGACAATATAACACGGGAAGAAAAGAAAAATGAAACACCTGTAGCACATAGATATCTACATGGTTCACACGCTTCACCAGAAAGTAGTTGTAAGCAATCTCATGTCTAGGTCCATTGATAGTGTTATGACATGCCGAATAGTTAGCCTAACAGTCCATTACAAATATAAAAAGATCCATCCTAACTGCGCGCCATCAGAAGTGTTCGGCTGGTAATTTTTCCAACACCTCAAGTTTCATTGGGTAATTGAATGTCGACTATTGTATGGACAGCCAATGATGATCGAACTCGCTACTTAGTTTAAAAAATCAGCCGAACTAACCTCGTTAACCACTACCCCATGCCAAACTCGGTTGGTTGATTCTCTTATACGTCATCTCTGTTTGAGTTATTTAATGTAGAATATTGTGTGGGGCACCCAATGACGATCGACCTCACTATTCAGTTTAAAAAATCAGCCGAACTAGCCTCGTTAACCACTACCCCATGCCAAACTCGGTTGGTCGATTTTCCGACACGATAAACCTCGTTGGGTTATTTAATGTCGAATATTCTATGTGACACCCAATGAGGATCGAACTCACTACTCAGTTGTAAGATCAGCCAATCTAGCCTCGTTAACCATTACACAAAGCCAAATTAGGTTTGTCGATTTTCCGATACATCAACCGTAGTTGGGTGTCGAATATTGCCAGGGGGTGGGGACACAATCAGAATCGAACTCACTACTCAATAGTAAAGGGTTGACAATCTAGCCTTGTTAACCACAACACAGTGCCAAAACTAGGTTGGTCGATTCTCCTACACGTCAACCCTGTTTCGGTTATTTAATGTCGATTATTGTATGGGGAAGCCAATGACGATCGACCTCACTACTCAGTTGTAAAATCAGCCGAGCTAGCCTCGTTGACCATTACCCAATGCCAAATAAACTTGGTCGATTCTCGAGGATACGGCACACGAAGAAGTTAACGGTTAAAACAAGATGATCCTATATTGTTAAAACACTTTATGGATAATCCAAGAATTGTTAGAGTGAATAAGTTTGATGTATTGATCTTGTTTTAAATCATCGTTTAGCAGACAATTATTTTTAGGTGAAGTGAATGTCGGTTCCGACTTCCCAAGATTGACATTCGGGGTCAGATGTGAGCCATAATAGGGAAGTCGATTTTGATTGGCTGAGCTAGCGTGGGAAAGTGATAAGAGAAAGGTTTGACGAGTTGTTTCTTAGCCGTCAAGGAATGTAGACGTGTTCTCTTTCGGGGGTGGAGTGCCACCACCACCGGATAGTTAGATAATGTACATGTCGACATGAGAAATAAAAATAGTTGAGTTAAAATTCTGTGTTTGAAGTCTTTCATTGCTGAACCAAAACGGTTAGCGATCGCCGGCCGAGAGAGAAAAGCCGAGCTGAGAACTTTCACTGCTGTAAATATGCAACACTTGCTAAGATGGCTTACGGCCACATCGCGTTGAAAGACCGGCTCTCGTGCGATCACTAAAGTTAAGCAACATTAAGCCTGACCCTTACCTAGATGGGTGACCACTTGGGATTACCAGATGTTGTAAGCTTCAATTGCGGGTGGTATAAAGGGCTTACGGCCACATCACGTTGAAAGACCGGTTCTCGTACGATCACTAAAGTTAAGCAACATTAAGCCTGGCCTTTACCTAGATGGGTGACCACTTGGGATTACCAGATGTTGTAAACTTCGATTGCGGGTGGCATAAAGGTCTTACGGGTACATCACGTTGAAACGCAGTTTCATTTATTTATCGTAGATTATTTGTATTTATCTATCTTAGACTATTTGTATCTATCTATCTATCTCAATCGGATAATTTATTTGCCGAGTCATTTATCCACGTCTTTTAATTTTTGATAAATGTATCCATTTCAATGATTGAATGCCAAATTGGATTTTCAAGGATTGCCAAATGATAGATACCTCTACGTCACACTGACCGCGTAATTGCAACCAATGTAAGCTCAAACAATATATTTGTAATTTATTTCTCCAGCTAGTGTACATATTAACAATAAAAAAACCTCGCCTTTAAAACATATGACACTTATGTAACTGAAAGGTAAGATGTCGAAAGGTCGTTGCAGCTCCGTCTCTGATTCAACAGCATTGTATCTCGCCAAGAGAGCGCGTTTTATCTTTGGCATTTTCGCGTTTGCAATACTTGCCTTGTCTGCGATAAATGAAGCCAGTATTGGAAAAGAAGGTACGATCTATCTATCTTAGACTATTCATATCTATCTATCTATCTATCTATCTATCTATCTATCTATCTATCTATCTGTTCATATCTATCTATCTATCTATCTATCTATCTATCTATCTTTTTTATATCTGTCTTACTCTGTTCATATCTATCTATTTATCTATGCTCATATATATCTGTTCATATATATCAGTCTATTCATATTCTATCTATCTATCTATCTATCTATCTATTTATCTATCTATCTATCATAGTATGTTCATATCTATCTATGCTCATATACATCTGTCTATATTTATTTATCTATTTGTGTTCATATATTCATCTATGTTCCTATCGATATCTATATATCTATCTATGCATATATCTATCTCAGTCAGTTCATATCTATGTTCATATCTATCGGTCTATTCATATCTATCTATCTATCTATCTTGTTTATATCTCTATCACTCTGTTCATATCTCTATCTATCTATCTATGTCTGTCTCAGTTTGTTCATATCTATCTATTTTATATCTCTCTTAGTTTGTACATTATCTATCTATCTATCTATCTATCTTTTTTATATCTGTCTTACTCTGTTCATATCTATCTATGTTCATATATATAAGTCTGTTCATATATATCAGTCTATTCATATCTATCTATCTATCTATCTATCTATCTATCTATCTATCTATCTATCTATCTATGTTCATATATATATCTATGTTCCTATCGATCAGTCTGTTCATATCTATATATCCATTTATACATATATCTATTTCGGTCTGTTCATATCTATGTTCATATCTATCAGTCTATTTATATCTATCTATCTATTTTGATTATATCTCTATCACTCTGTTGATATCTATCTATCTATCTCTCTATCTATCTATCTATCTATCTATGTTCATATCCAACTATCTATCTATTTTTATATCTGTTCATATCTATCTATCTATATTCATATATATATAAGTCTATTCATATCTATCTATCTATCTATCTATCTATCTATCTATCTATCTATCTATCTATCTATCTATCTATCTATCAGTTTGTTCATTTCTGTCTATCTATATATCTTTTATGATGCGAACGAATACTCTTTTGACACTTTCGTAATGCTCGTTGTAGTAGAGACTTTGTAATCGCAGATACAACTATAGTGACGCAGTTGAAAAATACTGGTGTCAGGCGCCTTCGAATAGCACTCTCACTAATAGTACTTGTTCGATAAGACTCGCTCGAATATCAATCACTGAATAGTGATCCGAATAGAGAAATCGTACAGTGAATAGAGTAGAGAATAGCGATCCGTATAGTAATAGAGGATAGAGTAGAAAATGCTATCAGTTAGACGCAAAGCTAATTCTTACTTATGAGTTTCCTTTATAGTCACGTGGTCTACTTAATTCAATGATGGTATCGCCTGGGTTTGTACACAGACGATCTATGTTCAAACTCAAATGTTGGCAGCGACACTTTAATCCTGTATAACACCCTCCCCTTTGAGATGACTTCCTCTGGAGTTTATATTTCTTCAGCTTTGGTTCAATATTCAAATGTTCCGTTGCTGTTCTTTTTCTTTTACTCTACCTTCTTGGTTCACTAATTTCTGGTAGCATGGCTACGTCAAACATGTCATACAATATTTCCATCGGTACCTCTTTTCGTGGACTTACTAAATCTGTGAATCTCCGTTTTAACTGATTAAGGTGTCGCTTATATTCCCACTCTTGTCCCTCTACCATGTATGTCATTTTTCTGATCTGTTTTTTATAACGCCATCTTCCCAGAATTCTTTTCCGCGCTGATGCATCTTAAAAAAATACCTTATCTCCAGGTTTGAAGTATCTACTTGTATGGTTATTTCTTGATGTTCTCGTCTTCCGTTCTGGTAATCACTTATTAAAAACGGACTTAATCTTCCTGGCGAACATCAACTCTGCAGGCGACATTCCAGACACGGTGTTCGGGTTTGGTGTTATTCTGTAAACACTCAGAAATTGCTGAATCATTTCTTCAGATGACACCCCCCCTCCGACGTTTTTAGTGCCCTTTTAAACATATCGACAAACCGTTCCGCTTGTCCGTTTGATCTTGGGTGATAAGGTGGAGTTGTACTATGTTCTATTGCTAATAAATTAACAAATTAACAGTGTTCCTTCATACAAACGCCGCCGATTTTTGTTTTTTCCAACAGAAGAAACGTTATAGCTGAATTCACCCAAAAAATTCAATCTCTTTCCTGAGGCTCCATGCGCAACTTTATCAAAAGTCAATAAACTGGGTTTACCCATTTTTCTCCATGTCTGTTCATTTATAATAGTGATATCAAGTCCTGTATCCAGTTGTAATTTTATTTTTACATCATTAATTTGCACAAAAACAAATTTCCTCTTTTGAGATGTCTTGTTAATTTCCCTTTTAGGCTTCTTATCGCTACTCCATGTAGTTATCATCATGTTCATAAACGTTTTCTTTTTTCTCCACTTTTTGTATCTGCAACACATACTTTTGTGTCCTAACATCCCACATTCATAACATTTTTTGTTCTTGAAAAACAATCACTTTTGAAATGCTTATCTCCACAACTGTGACAAGTATTAGGTATTGGAGGGGGGTATAGTCATTTTTTCCTGTTCTTTTAGGAGTTGAAAAACGTTTGTAGCATTTACTCTTTGATGGCTGGACATTTTTTATGTATTTGTGAATTGTCCTTTTCCTCAAACCTTGCGGTATTGAGTTTCAAATTCACAATACGTTGATATTCTTCCGCTATTCCCTGGAGAGTTAATTTGGAATCCATTTCTAATTTAGCAAATATCCTGGATCTTATCTCCGCGTCGTTATCAGAAGTTAAACCCTTTACGAATATCAGGTAATTAAATAAATCTGAAGTTAATTCATTTATCATTTATCTTCTCACATTCTTGATTCACGATTCTTGAATAAGTGACAAAATCTTCATCGTCGCACTTTATACTAAGTTAAGACATTGCCACCGTGTATTAAATAATGAACTCTTATCATCAAAAAATGTTGATAGTATAAGAATAGTTTCATCAAAATTTATTTCTCTTGTTTTTTTTCGGTAGAAGATAATTCACATATTTTTCTTGTTCCGCAGGGGATAATTTCATTAATAATAACCGAACTTTCTTTTCATCATTTCAATGCAAACAATCCCTTTTGAAGACCCCTTCATATCATTTATAATAAGCTGGAAAAGTTATCCCTTTTGTCTGGATTGTATACAAATTCGCTGGTTGAATTAGCAACAGTATCTGGAGTGAATGAATATGAAGTTTTTTCTTTCCATGGTTTTGATAAACGACTTAAAAAACTTCTGTTGTTGTAGCTGCAGGTTCGAGGGTGGGCTGAAACATTTATCGGCTAACTGTTAAGGAGCGATGCTGAAATCTTGCATGCATTAATTTCAATTCTTTTTTTTTATCAAGAACTGCATTGTTTCTTTCCAGGTAAACTGACATCTGACTGCTCAAAGAAGACTGTAAAAGGAACTTTTAGCGACTTCTCTTGAAAATGGATAAAATTTAATATGGTGCTATGATCAGGTACCTGCAGATAAAGATTTTAGCCGCCCAAGGACATTCATGCCAACATTGTCGCGACATTAGGGGATGACGTTCTAGCTTTATCAACAATGCAAAAATGGGCAGCTGAATTTAGGAAGAGAAGGGAGAGTCTTGAAGATGACCGAAGATGTATATGTCCTGCAACTGTTACTACTAAGGGAAACATTGATCATGCTCACCACAATGTGATGGAGGACGAACGATTAACTATAAAGCAAATAGCATATGATCGCTAATAGAATTGACTATCAAAACCAAACACCCAGGAAAACTGATGAAATGGGATCTTGTTTCATCAGGACAAATGCTCCAGCACACAAGTCCATGGTTTCAATGCTGTGTGTGATTGTGGCTTTGAACTGGTTGATCACCCTTCCTCTTCCCCTGATTTGGCCACCATCTTACTATCATCTGTTCCCCAACATGAAAAATCACCTGGCTGGGTACCAGTATCACAATGATGGTGACGTTCATATTTTGCTGTTGATGACTTTTTTGACCAACAGGATGAACGCTTCTTTACCAATGGGATCCAAGCACTGCAACACCAATGGAAGAAGTGTGTGAACCACAAGGGGGACTATGTTGAAAAATAAACTTTATTTGGTCACATTCCACGAGAATTTTCTTAGTCCGACTATGAACTTTTCAGCCAACTTTCATATATACCCAATTCTATGTCCTTATTGAAAGAGTAATTGTAGCCAGCAAGCAATAATTATATACCCAATTCTATGACATTCATGCTGGACATGGTTGCTACATTAGGGGATGACACTCCAGGTTTTTCAACAGTGCTAAAGTGGGCAGCTGAATTTAGGAAGAGAAGGGAGAGTCTTGAAGATGATCCAAGGTCTGGATGTCCTGCAACTGTCACCACCAAGGAAAACATTGATTGTGTTCACTATATGTTGGTGGATGACAGGCGATTGACTATAAATCTAATAGCCAATGCTATTAGCATATCCCGGGAGAGAGTTGAGAATATTCTGCACAATGAACTTTGCATGACAAAGGTTTCTGCTCGATGGGTGCTACGTTTCTGATAACCACGTGACAACAACAAAAAAAGTGGTCATGGTTGTTTTTGATTTAAGCTATGCATTCTGTTCCATTTTTACCGTTTTGGCCAGTTTTACCCTGACGATCCGTTTAGGTGAAACCTAGGTAGGTTTACCTGGCCCTTTAGGTTTATATTAGGTTTGCTCTACTTCATGTATTGAGAACTTTATGTCGTTGCTTTTACTCCGTTTGGAGGTTTTCTTTTCTTTGGACTCTGAGCTTGAATTCTGGACGATTGTTTTCGCCTCAATTTCATGTTCTTAGTTCTTTCTTTTTTTATTCCTCATTTTTCCTTGGGTATTGGTTTGTCCAACTGCAAGCCGAAATACCTAAGGTTTTTCCAAGCGGGTACCACTATATATATATATATATATATATATATATATACAAAGAAGTGTTTGGTAATCCGTATGGATCATACAATCCAGAGAGCGCAATGTAAAAACAGAGCAAATATTAATTATATTAAGAAACAGACAACTTGAAGGGTTTCCTGCTTTCCAGTCAACTTTGATCTTTAAAAATTTAAATGCAATGTCAATCATTATCTTCTACCTTCATAATTTTTGTTCTTTTATTGTTTTTGCTCCTTAATAATGTTTTTCTTTTTCTTGTATTATTTCACACTCTGTAACTCCCTTCGTCTTATTGACTTTATTGCCTGATATATGGTATGTTGTTGTACTTGAAATTAAAAAAAAATAAGAAAAAACTGGTATAGGTGTTTGTAATAATCTAGCGCCAGTCTTCGGACCTCATGGACCCACAGGCTGGAATTTATTTTTAATCATTGTTCTGAAGGTGTTTGGTGCCACGTATGACACCTATATGAACGTCTCGATCTGATAAAGCAATTTAAGAATATGACGCGAAGTTTTAGATTAATGGTTTGATTTTGTCTGAAGAAGAGACTGGAGGCAACGGAGGTATGGTTCTACAGAAGGATGCTAAGGATATTATGGACCGTGCGTGTGAGTAACGATGAGGTTTTAGAGAGGATGCAAACAAGGAGGAAGCTTATACTTAACATCAGGAAGAGGCAGATGAAATTTCTGGGACCCGTACTCACTAGAAAAGCATTCACTGTTAATAACTCATTCTCGAATTGCCCCCCCCCCCATGTGGGGCGTGCGCCCCACGTTAGAAACCACCGCCTTATATTATTAAGATTTTGGTAAGTAATAATGAATCCTGGTAGGACTCATTCTCTCAGGATTGCTTCACTGTAAAGGTTGAATAAGTCTAGCGAGAAGAAACATCTTTGTCTTATGCTCCTTTCTATTTAGGTGTGTTTACTAAATTCATTTTAAAGGAGGGCTTGGAAAATCTGATACGCACAGGTCGGATAGAGAGAAAGAGGGACAAGGGAAAGCAACTTAGCGGGCTCTATCAAGTGGATGGCAGAACAGGGTGTGGGGGTATTAGCAAA